TTCAAATTTCATAATCATACCCCTGAGATTCTGATCACTGGTATGCATGCTCCTAGTGTAGCTAGGGAGAGGCATGTGTTTTGGAATGACATGCAAAGCAATTTACCTCCTTCTACCACCTTATGGCTAGTGGTTGGTGATATGAATGAGGTAACATCTCAGGGTGAGAAATAAGGAGGAAGACCTTTTAGGTCAAGTTAATGCAAAGATTTCACTAATTTTACTAATGAAGCTGGGTTGATTGATTTGCATGCTGTGGGAAATCATTATACTTGGGAAAATGCAAGGTTTGGTAGGGCCCTTATCAAGGAAAGGATTGATAGAGCCATTGTTAATGCTTCTTTTGTGGAGGTTTTCCCTTAGGTAACTGTCAAAAATCTTTTTAAAACATATTCTGATCATTGTCCAATGTTGATTAGTTTGTGTTCTAAACCCTCAAAAGGCTCATTTCCTTTTAGATGTAAAGAAATTTGGTTGCAACATAAAGACTTCAAACACTTTTTTCTCTCAAATTGGGCTAGTGTCTCTAATCCCATTCCCTTTTTGCAAGGAAGATCCAATTTTCTTTCTAATGTGTCAGCTTGGGATGTTAATGTTTTTGGTAGTTTAGAAAAAAAGAAAAAAGTTTTATTAGCTAGGTTGAATGGCATTCAAATTTCCCTTGCTTCTAAACACTCTTCTTTTTTGGTAAATCTAAAGCATTCTCTTCTACATGAGTTAAACTCTATCTATAAAATGGAGAGGATTATTAAGGCTCAAAAAGCAAGTATTAATTGGAAATTTGGTGATTATAATACCAAATACTTTCATATTCATGCAAAAGTGAAGAGAAGTAGAGGAAAAATTGTTGCTCTCTCTGACAATAGTGGTATTCTTATTAAGGATCAGAAGATTCTTAAGGAGTTAGCTAGATCTTATTTCATCAAACTTTTTACTAGCTCCATTAATACCCATGCCTCTTTGTCTTGCTCTTCTATCACTATGCTTAATCCTACTGAACAAACTTTACTTTCTTCTGTTCCTTCTTTGGAGGAGGTTAAGTCTAATTTGTTTAGGATGGATCCCATTAAAAGTCCTGACCATATGGCATTCATCCTCTCTTTTATCAGCACTTTTGGAATGATTTGAGTAGTTCTATCCATGGCTTTATAGTTTCTATTTTCAACTCTTCCACCATCCCTTCTGATCTCAATCTTTCCTATATCTCCCTTATTCAAAAGAAAGTCAATTCAGTCTCTATGATTGATTTTAGGCCCATTGGTTTTGTAATACCACTTACAAGCTTGTCACAAAAATTATCTCTTCTAGATTAAAGGGTATTTTTCATAGAGTTATAAGTCCTTTTCAATCTAGTTTCATCCAAAATAGATGCATGGAGGATAATATCATTCTCATTAAAGAGGCTGCTCATCTGATCCATAAGTGTAGAAAAAACAAACACATTATGGCTCTCAAATTAGACTTAGCCAAGGCCTATGATTGTTTATAATGGTCATTCATTGCTGATACCCTCAAATGTTTTGAATTTCCAGCCTCCACCATAAACCTTATTATACATTGTGTTTCTTCTACTTCTATTTCTGTTTTGTGGAATGGAGAGATAACAAAAGATTTTCATCCTTCTAGGGGGTATAAGACAAGGAGATCCTCTCTCTTCTTACCTCTTTGTTCTGTGCATGGAAAGATTGTCTTTATTAATTGAAGACAGTGTTCAAACGGGAGATTGGAAACCTTTAAAAATTTCCAAAAATCATAGTCTTAGCTTTCTCACCTTTTTTATGCTGACGATGTGTTCTTGTTTGGAATTGGAAATGTTACAAACCTTACCAATATGATGTCTATTTTGGAAGAATTTGGTGCTATTTCTGGTTTAAAAGTTAATGATCTTAAATCTAGCATCATTTTCCCTCCAAAAATGGAATTTAATGTTAGACATCAATTAGTTGTCTTGAGTAATTTTAAGTCCAGTTGCTCTTTTGGGAAATATCTAGGTATTAATATTAGTCCTAATAAGTTAAGGAAAGGTGACTATTGGGAGCTAATGACAAAAACCTTAGATAAAATTAAAGGTTGGCAGGCAAAGCTTTTAAACATGGCTAGTAGATGTACCCTCATAATATCTGTTCTAAGTTCATATCCTGTCCATGCTATGCAAACCAATCTCCTTCCTCTCTCTATTATTTAAGATCTTGAAAAACAGTGCAAAAGATTCCTCTGGAATAGATCAGATTCTGTTAGATTTACTCCCAGAACTAAATGGAATAATATCATTCTTCCCATTGCTCTAGGGGGTTTAGGTCTCAGGTTTTTAAAGGAGTGGAACCTTTCATTTATGGCCAAATTGGGTTGGATTTATTTAACTAATCCTGATAAACCGTGGGTTAAAATTTTAAAGGACAAATATGCTAAAAGAAGTAACCTTCAGGATTGCATCCTAATTCTTCTCAGTCTTCAATGTGGAGGGACATTCTTAAGGGAAGGGATCTTCTTTTTAAGGGTATTATTATTGGAATTGGAAATGGGGAAGATACATCTCTCTGGTACCATCATAGGGTGGGATCTGCTCCTTTATATATGGTCCTTGATTATGAAATTCCTCAATCAAAATGTCATTGGAGGGTTTCTAATATTATCAGAAATGGAAAGTGGTATATTGATGATATAAAGTACCTGCTCCCCAATCATATTATCTCCTTAATTCTGAGTACTCCTCTCTCAACTATAGATCCTTCTCTCTCTCCAGATAACATTAGATGGATTTTTCATAAATATGGAGTTTTCACCATCAAATCAGCTTACTTTTCTGTCACTCAAGCTTCCAAAATCCCTCTCTCTTTCTCTTTCAGCTAGAAATCTTTCTAGAAGATCTAATTACCATATAAATATAAAATGTTTATGTGCAACTGTGTTCTTTCTATTATCCCCTCTGCTTCCCTTCTGAGCTCTAGAATCCCAAATTTTGATGATGTTTGTGTCAGATTTCACTCTTGCTCAGAATCTTTCATTCATCTGTTCAGAGACTGTCATTCTTCCATTATCTTATGGAAAATGATTTTGCAAAAATTAAAGCCTCCTCCTCAATATAACTATTACATTTTCATGAATAGCAATTGGACAGACGGGATTGTTTACAATTTTAGTCAGACTCCTAAATGGAAATGCATCTTTATCATGGGAATGTGGCAGATTTGGAAGTTGAGAAATAGAGCTATTTTTAAAGTTGCGGTTTATAATTGTAACTATGTTTTTAACAGATTCATGATAGATTATCAAATAAACTCTTTTGTCTTGCAGGGTGTTTGGAAAGGAAAAGAAAAGGTTGGGGATGAGTCAGGACCATCCATTTGTCAAACCCCCTTGCTGGAAGCCTCCAAGACCTGGTTTTCTCAAGATAAATATTGATGGTGCTTGGATTTCTTAAGACAATGGTGGAGGGGGCGGTGATTTCAGGAATGTTAAAGGAGAATGGAATTTTGGGTACTCCAATAAGTACAATGCTCCTAGTGCCCTTGGTTCAGAACTCTATGCTCTTAGGGAAGGCCTTAATTACGCAAGGGCTATGCCCCTCTAATTTTTGGAAGTAGAAACAGATGTTGAACATATTAAGACTTTGCTGAATATGAACAATGAACTTGCAGCTGTCATCATTGATGTTACTAGACTTTTGAACAAGGAAATGACTGTCATTTTCAGTACCATTTCAAGGGAGCTCAATAGCCTAGCTCACTACCTAGCAAGATATGCTATGAATATGAGCTTGGGCCATGTTGATCATTTTGTTTGCCGAGTTAGTGCTAAAGCTGCTTACCATGCTGATCTTTAATATGTTGATCTTTAATATGCTGATCTTCAGTCCCTTCCGTCTTCTATTTAGTAATTGTCCTTGTTGTAGTTTGTTCTCTTTAATATGTTGGAAAACTTAGTTTAGTTGGGGTATGTTTGTTTTTAGTTGGTTTAAGTTATGGATTTTGTTCAAAGAATGTATTTTGCTTAAACAAGCTTCTTTGAACTATAGGTTGTAATATATTTAGGGCTTTGCCCAGATAATGCATGCTTCCTTTTGATTAAAAACAAAAATTTTGCAATTAATTGTATATTAAAATAAATAAGTAAATAACCACCACCTTAAAATAATTCTAATAGGAATAGGAAAGCTATTTAGGAAATAAATTGGGTACCAAGATTAGCCCATGGCTAGCCAGCTTGCGTGCCCATGTTATGAGCTTTGACGCCGTCCGACCCTTGCACACATTACAGGCCATAAGGCTCCACGAGCAGCTATCCAACGAGGTGCCTTGCAGTTAGCAGCACACACGCACCCACGACCAATAGTGTTGCTGGGCCTACGTGCACACTTTGCGCATTGCTGCTTTATAGCAAGTTGTTGGGCCTTAGCTTTGGCACCAAGTGTAATAAATAATAATAATAATAAAAATAAATATATAATAATAGTAATGATAATAATAATAATAATAATAATAATAATAATAATAATAATAATAATAATAATAATAATAATAATAGTAAAAGTAATAGTAACAGTAACAATAAAAATAATACACACCTTATGGTCGTCTGGGAGGTGAAGTAGGATAATCCCGTTCAAATATGCCTTAGAGACCACCTTTGGACGGGTCTCTATCTCGGGGGTCTGTTTGATTAAGAGACCAACCCTGATGAAGGGGTCTCTTATGAAGATAGAAGGGACCCGTTAATAGAGAGAGGGGGTCTGTTATAGTAGTGGTTTGAAAAATATTTTAATAGGAGAAGAGACCCATTGATAGACAAATAGGGTTCCTTAACTTAACATAGGAGACCCGTCCTTAGAGATATGGGGTCCCTTAGTTGAATAAATTCAGACCCTATATGTAAGATAGGCGGTCTGTTTGACTCTTCGTATATACAAACAAAATTAATACGGATACATACGACTATATTTTTACCAACCCTTTTAAACAAATATTAATTTACAATAAAATACAAATTTTCTACAACAAATATGAGTAGAATTTATCTATCATTATTTATAAAAATTTGTACAACTAATTTTACAACTTGTCGAAAAAATTTACAATAACTCAAACTCCATACTTCGTGTTAGGTATAACTATTGTACAAGAGTTATATAAAATCTACATTTTGAAAAAGAATAACTCTTATTGCAAAAAAAAAAAAAAAAAAAAACAAAACAAAAAAACAAAAAAAACACCTCTTACAATGTTATTAGAACTAAATTCAGATACATAAATAAACATTAAAATCGCCTACAACTATCGTCTTCGACTTCATAATTGAACACCATCAATCTCCACCTTTGCTGTGAACCCGTCAAATATTGAAGTTTCTCATTTCCATCAGATCTATTTTCCCATTGAATTTCTCTAACGATTAAACTTTATATCTTATGGAAATTTAATTAAAAATAAGGAAAATAATAAACTTTTAGATCAATATAATCAACTCCACAATAAATTAAAAACCCAAACCCCCAAATTCAACAATGTATACGAATAAACTCATCCAATAAACGATAGATTAAACCTTCAAACACGAAAAATCAAAACGAATAATATCTAAAGTTACCCAAGCATAATGCGGAGTACAAAAAATAAGATAGAAACCCAAATGTTAGATCTAAAAAGTAAATCAAATTAAATTTAAGAAAAGTATCAAGATTATCGATACAACTGGAAAAAAAAAAATTAAACTAAAGTATTAACCTGAATGGATGAATATTGAAATGATAACCAAAGTCAACCAAAAAAAAATTTAGACAAAAAACAGAAATACACCATAACATGAAAACCTAACTTCATGTCGCAAATAAGCCCTTAGAGCACCATACTATTCCTCAAGTCTTATAATTAAGATATTATTCCAATTCAAAAATCAAATTAAAAAACAAAGGCGTGAGGTTTTTACAGGCTTAATTTGTGGTAGAATAGTACGAAGTGTCTATATATCAGACTATCACCCACGAAAAATTTCAAAACTACTCACCTAAACCCGAAATCACCACGAATAAACTCGTAGTAAAATAGAAAGAGGAAGCGGGTCGGCGCTGAAGAGGAGGAGGAAGCGACCGTCGGCGTTATGAAGGAGGTTGTAGCAACATTTTTTGCTCTTGGAGAAAAAAATAAGATAAGAGGAGAGAGGAGAGGAGAGGGGAGTGAGATAGAAAGAGAGAACGGCGTGAAGCAAGGTAATGGGGGAATCGGGGAATAAGAAGAGAAGTAGGGTTTTGTTCTCAACTCAAAAAAAAATTGGTTTGACTGGTGGGCCCATACACAAATAAGAGACCTGTTAGGTCAAACCACGGGTCTCTTATTTTTTCCCCTCCATCTTCCCAAAACTATTGTTGGCCCTTTTATATATAAGAGACCCGTTTCCACTAATATTAGATCCCTTATGTTAAAGAGACCCATTGTATTAACCAACAGGTCTTTTATTATAGGTTCCTTTTCCCATTTTTGTAGTAGTGTGGTCCTGTTCTTTTTGCTTTGGTTTTACAACCCCTGGTGTGTAAAATCAAAGACACTTATGATGTATGTCTTCAGGCTTGATGACGAAATTGTTATTGGTGACACGTTGGAAGGGCTTTGTTTTGGGTTACATCTTAACGTGGAAAAAAGTGAAGTTCTCTGGCCTACAGAAGACCCTTGAAGTATTCTCATGAGTGTCATTTATGGCACTCATAAGGTAGTCTTTTAGGATGTTTTCACCCTATTTTCATAGCTTTCTTTTATTATTTTGGTCTTTTCTCCTTTAGTTTCTCTATTTCTTTCTTTCTTCGTGCTTTACTTTCCTTTATGTAGTTTTCTTTGTGTTTCCCTTATATTTGGCTCTTTTTCTCTTCTATTTTCTTTCTTTGTTTACTTTTGTAGGTGTTTAAGGAGTTGGCTTTGCAAAAGGATCAAGAAGAGCCAAAAGGGCTAAGCAAAGAAGAAGCAAGCTTCTTGGAGAGGGCTTGGAGAGGGCACGGAGAGGGCACACAGCCTTTGCCAAAGGTCGCGGGTGCGGAAAAAGTGCAAGAAAATGGAGGTTTTGGCAGGAACTCTCCACGCCCTGGCCGCGGTCTAGCTGCGGGCGCGGATGTTTTGGAGAGACCGTTTCTATTGGAAAGACCGCAGGCCCCTAATTACAATTGGGAGTAGAGAATTTTCCGCGCCTTTAGCTGCGGGCACGGGCTACAATACCCGCGGGCGCGGGTGTTGCCCAGATTGCCCGCGGAGTTAGTTATGGGTTCCGTACCCAATTTTCCGCGCCCGCGGGATATTCTTGGAGAGGGTGCAACCGATCAGATTTTCTTCTTTGTCTATAAATACTCTTGTAATTCCTTGTCAAAGCTAACTTTTAGATAATTTTTCATTTGCTTAGTTTTTAGAGAGAGAAACTAGAGAGAAGTTAGAGAAAAAGTAGAGATAGAAATTCTTGGATTTTGATTTGTATTACAACATTGCTTCAATCAAGTTTGAATTTCTTCTTCATATTAATGAAAGTTTGTGAGATTTCTTTCGTTTGAATTTACTTTTATTGCAATTTCCTTTAATGCTTGAATGTTTGAATTGAATTTTGGTTTAGGTTTGAGAAATTGTTGAATTATAGAATTCCTTCTTGATTAAACTTGAAATTAATATGTTTGTGATTGAATTTGTTTTGTCTTTCAATTTCACCATGATTAGTGAGTAGATTAGTTGATAGGGAGAAGGGGAAGCATGCTTGATAGATGATTTTTTCTAGTTGATGATCATTGATTGATTGATTGTTGCAATAAAATTGGTTGACATAGTTGTGCATGTGATTAATTAGACTAGGAGTGATCAACCTATAAGATTAATCTAGATTGCATTGCAAATTTCAATGACTTGAACCCTTGATTTGAGAATTGCTTTAATTGATTGAATTCGATTGTGATTTTCCTAGTTAGCCATTCAAAGTGAACCCTATCTTGGCTTACAGGAGATAGATTTTGGATTCCTTTGATTGCAACTATTGTTTGTCCCTTGTAATGTTTGAATCGATTGAGTGATCTATCCAATTAGCATAATCATTGAGCTTGCATATGGAACCTATATCCCTAGTGTTTAGCATATTTAATTTCTCAATTTATCTAGTTTCTTGTTACCTTAGTTACCAACCACAACCATTTATATTCTTCGAATTAGCTTGATATAGGCTATAACTTGCACCTACTCATTCCTTTGGGTTCGACCCTTGACTTACCATATACTCGTATTAGATTGGTCGAGTGTTTACAAATTAGGTTTGGCTCTAGGGAGAGGTAGATAGCGACCTGCATTTTCCTCTTGTCATAGTCTTGTGGGGGTTTTTCTACCTAATATTGCTCGACCTTTGCGTGGTGTTCAGTTGCTTGGTGGTCTCACTAGATAGTTTCGATTCCGGTTTTGGAGGTGAGCTTGTGATGCAAAGGGTGACCAAGACCATTGCGCTAATGGATAGGGTTGCTAAGCTTGACAATGCTTAGTGCAAGTTGTTGTTGCTTAGGGCATGTCCTGGAGTTTCTAACTCTACTTTGAGTTGCGTACTTGTCCCCCTAGTACTTTTGAGGTGGCTCAGCGCACATTACATCACCACTAGAAAACATGAAAATAGCGACGGACTGGTTCAGACGGATATATTATTCCGTCAGAAAGTCAAAATTTCCGAAGGATTTTTTGACGGAAGGGAAATTCTATGTCGTTGGATTCTAAAATTCCTACAATCAAACAAAATTTAACCAAACCTACTCCTAGTATAGGGGTAAGTCCGATTCGAGCCCAAAGGAATGGAGACAAATGCTATGGTCTTAAGTCAAACTATTCAGAAGATTGAATAATTGGTTTGGTAAAACAAAAACAAATCAACACGAAAAAATTCTAAAAATGGAAATCAATATCAAGATACTAGGGAATTAGGATCCACACACATTCACGATAAACATGCTAATTTGATAGGAAGTTAATCAATCGAAGAATGTGAGGGAAAATAATATTTGCAATCAAAATCACTTGAAAAACTATTTCCTAGGTGTCAAACTAGTGTTCTCTACGAATGACTATCAAAGGAAAATCACAAGACAAGTTCAATCGATAAGAGTAGCTTGATAATGCGTCGATTACAATGCAATCTAGCTTGATAATCAAGGTTAGTTAGTCCTCTTCATATCAAACACATGCACAAATTTCATAAACTAATTTAATCACATCATTAAATCAATCAAAATCCCCAAATTAATAATAGTCTATCATTCATACATGATGTTTGATGTTGCTATGATTTGAGAGTCATCACCAAGTTTAATTTATTGTAAAGAACGTAAAGTGAAAGAGATTACGCACCAAAACTCTTGAAATGTATATACCTTGAGTTTGAACATATAGGGGGATTTATGTGACTTTATATTTGATCGTAACTTCTACTGGAGTACAGGACGCTGTACATTCCTTTTATTATTATGCGCAGGAATTTCGCCACTTACAAGTGGTTCTTTTATACTGGCACTGTTAGCTCCTGTATTAGTACCCCTTTATTGGAGAAGGTTAGGGGAGAAACCCATTCGATGCGTAATAAAAACTAAATAAATATTTAGTTACTTAGTTGAGAATTTTTTTTGAATGTTGTGTGCTTGAAAAACAGGTGCAACAAGGTAAGTTGTGTGTTTATAGGTATTGCATGTTAATGTGTTTAAATACGCTTATGTACTCGGCTTTGCTGATTATGTGCTTGTGTGTTTGTTGGCCTTGTCTTTACCTTGGCCTTATGATGACCCATTTTCAATGTATAGTAGTGGAAACAAGTAGAGAGAGAAGTTATCAGGTTATGAAGCATATTCATGATGGGCATGAGTGAAGAGCGAATCATGCTAGTTTCCATAAGTTTATGATGTGTTATTTTATTTATATTATGACATTTCTATTGCGAGACTAACATAAATATTTTAAATTGGATTGGTTTGTTAAGGGCCTACAATGGTTCCAAGTTGTAGGTTTGACTTTGCTTTACTTTGGTTTGACTTTACTTTCGTGAGTTGACTTTTTAAGTTGAGTCGTTTTATAATATTTTAAAGGAGAGTCTTCCGCTGTGTGTCTTTGATAGTTTCCTTAGCCGTTTTCACGGTGGCGGTAATATCTTAGATTTTCCTATTTAAAGTTTTAAACAGGGAAAAACATTTATTTTAAAAGAAAGGGATTTATAGGGTGTTACGTAGCTACTCCTCAACAAATCAAACATATGCACATATTCTATCAACCAATTTAATCACAATATCAAATCAATCAAAATTCCTAAATCAACAATAGTCTATCATTCATACATGCTTCACCACATCCCTAGCAAAGGATCTACTCACTACACATTGTAGAATTGAGAAGCAAAACTAAACAAATCATCAATTTCATCATCAACATTGTAATCAAAATATCAACAATCAAATCAAACATTCAACTAGAAATTCAACAATGTATCAAAGATCAAACACTAAAATTGCATTAAAGAGAAAGAAATTCTTACAAAACTTTGAGATCAAAGAGAATGAAGATAAAATTTAGCAATCATCAATTACAAAGTTTCTCTCTCTAAAATCTAAGAACAAAATTTCCCCAATCTTGAGCTTATCTCTCTAAGAATCTAATCTATTCAATTTTCTCATACAATTCTAGTACATTACTTTCTCTAAAAAGGAATAAAATCTATATATAGCAAAACTAAAAAAGGAGAAGTTATTTAGACGTCCAAAAGGAGCCCTTACAAGCGAGCCCTCTCCTCATATTGCGCGGCCGCGAAGAAATGGGTACAAAACAGGGGAAACAGGGCTGCGTGCCTATGCCTAGAACGTGCGCGCCCGTGCCCCTACCCTGCGCGCCCGTGCCTGGGAGGAGGGCAACTCTCTCTCGTGCATCCATTGATGCCTCTGTGCGCTCCACTTGATGAACATTGGGGGTGGTAGTTTCCAAATGTTCCTACGGTGGGTTCAACACCACTTAAGATGCCCATGCAGCTTGAGAGCGCAGCCTAGAAGACTTGGAGCTTGCACACCTCAACACTTGAGCTTCAAAGGAAGATATCGGTTTGCATCTTGAGCCTTACAAATCCCAAGAAAGATCCATGGAGATCCTTAGACATCACCTTTCTCCTGAAATCAAAGAAAAGCAAACAAATAAAAGAGAAAAAGTAAAATAAACCAAGAAATGTAAGAAAACGGGGAAAACAACTAAGAAAAGCACAAACTAGAGAAATGACATACTTCCTCCGTTCAATTAATATTGCAACAATGGACTTTTTGCAGTAGTTTATAGGCACTACCGGCAGAAAATCATGAATCCTATTCAATCAAGCACCTAATCCCAAGATCACATGC